GTGGGGGCTGGGTCAAGCCCCGCCGCCCAGGCCCAGGCCCAGGCGAGGGCGAGCCGCCGCCTGCGCGGCTTCCGCGGCCTCCACCCGCCGCGAGGGGTCTGTCCGGGAGGTGGCGAGCAGGTGAGGGCGCGCAGCCCATGGGAACCCCCCGCCCCCGGCGGAGAACCGACTGGGGCCACCCCCGAAAGTGAGTCTCCAGCTGGGACCCGGGGACCTCCCACTGGAGCGGGAACCGCGCCGGGGCGCCCAGAGGATGGCCCGGGGATGAACTGCGGCAAGAACCAGGAGGACTCGAGGCTAGGGGCGGTGGCGTTGGTAGTTGTGGGGTGGACTTTGTGCTGTCCCGCAGCCGCCTGGCGGAGAGGGCAGGTGGCCCGGAGTAAGGTGTGCGCTGGGAACCGGTGGAGCAGGGTCAAGGTCTGGGCCCCTCGCGTGCCAGGCCAGGGCCTCCATCCTCCCAGTCCTCCCTCTCTCCATCCTCCCCTCCAGGTGGGAATGGAATACACTGTCTGACCTAAGCCTCTTTCCCCAAAACGCCAAGTTCCTTGAGAGTCACATCTGGGCACCGAGGAAGACAGACATAGATGATTGCACTCTGATAAGAGGGTTTTTAAAAACCAACTTCCAGAGGCGCCTGCGTGGCTCAGTGGTTGAGCGCCCGCTTTCTGCTCAGGTCATGATCCGGGGTCCTGGGATCCAGCCCCGCGTCAGGCTCCCTGCAGGAAGTCTGCTTATGTCTCTGCCTCTCTCTCTCTCTCTCTCTCTCTCTCTTTGTGTTTCTCATGAATAAATAAATAAAATCCTTAAAAAAAAATCCACTTCCAGTTGTGATGAGTGCCCAGGGCCTACACTGTGGCCGAGTTGCCCTTTCTCCCTCCCAGTCTTAAGTTTTATTACTGTCAGGCTGGAGTTGAGATCTCAGTAAGGAGGTAGTGTAGATTTATTAACATCTGTCAAAGGTAGAGTCCTTACAGATAAGATGGGTGGGTGTAGACCCTTGCTGTGGATGGTGAATTTATTTGTAATCCTTCCAGTGAAAGCTTTGGGAGGTCTGGTTCTTCCTTAATTCATGGATTTTTTGAAGACATTCCAAGCTCATGGAAGGATGTCCTAAAGGCTGCAAGCAGTTCAGAAAAGTATTATTGGAAAAGAAGACAGAATAAAAAGTCTACTGAACCATGGGACAGAAAGAAATATGTCATCTTTAACTAAATGTAGGAAATCTGGTTCAACCTTTTATATTAATGTTCTCCTTTTAAAGCTTTGCATTATGTAGGGCAGCCCTGGTGGCTCAGCAGTTTAGCGCTGCCTTTGGCCAGGTGTGATCCTGGAGACCCAGGATCGGGTCCCATATCGGGCTCCCTGCATGGAGTCTGCTTCTCCTTCTGCCTGTGTCTCTGCCTCTCTGTGTGTGTGTGTCTGTCATGAATAAATAAATAAAATCTTTAAAAAAAATAAAGTCTTGCATTATGTATTTTATTTTGATGTATATGTTTGTATTTGAAATATCCACAGCATATTAGCATAGCAGGTGTCTGATTTAGATATTTCTTCAAAATTTCTTTTACTGATGAGCAGAGGCCTAAATAATAAGTAGCTCTGTAGCATCTGGAAGAAGAGAAGGATCATGGAATTGAAGCAGGCTTTTTTCGTTTGCTTCAAAATCAATAAGTCCCTTCTGACTTCAATTTGTTTTTGTTGTTGTTGTTTTTAAGATTTCATTTATTTATTTAAGAGAGAGCACAAGCAGGGTAAGGTCAGAGGAAGAAGCAGACTCCCAGCTGAGCAGGGAGCCCTACTTAGGGAGTGTGGGGGGAAGCTCAATCCCAGGACCTTGGGATCATGACCTGAGCCAAAGCAGACACTTAACCAGCTGAGCCACCCAGCACCCATGACTTTGCTTTTTATGAATTAATTTCCCAAAGCCAGGGTTTTCCTGGAAGAGCTGCTACAGACTGAGTTTTGGAACATTGTTGGGAAACAAGGATTAGGCTCAGGATCCACAGGGCACTCACTGAGGGGTAAACATCCTATGAGGTCCTGCCTGAGCGACCAGTCTGTCTGTCCATCAGTCAGGCTCTCAACCATGCTCTCCTCTTCTCCAATTCCACCCGTATACAATTTATGAAAGCCTGTATTACTATAGATTGGAAGTTCCACCAATCCAAAGGGAACTGAGGATGGAAATCAGGAGATCTGAGAACCTGGATGGGGAGATTTCTATCTTCACTAACCTCAAACTAAAGTGCAGCATTTCTTTCATAGGCAACAAACCACCATGGGATTAGTACCCATGACTGTGTCATCACTAGGAATCACAGATGTTCACAGGTTACAGATGCCTCAACATATCATTTATGTGCAGCATTACTTGGGAATTATGGTAATTATTATTCCCACTCTGAGATCTTGTAATTTAGTATAGTAAAGAAGTACATCTATTATATCACAGATTTAAATTTTTAATAATTTGATAACTGTATTTCAGTAAAATTGGCTTCCTTGGCAATCCCATTTTTTATTGTGTGTGTTTTTCCAGACTGCCAAAGGGGATTGATGCCATCTGTCTCTGCTGTGGATCATGAATAGACAGTGTGACAAATAGGTAGAGATGAGTATGCATTGTGGTGCTCTTGCCTTGTTCTCTAACCTTACCATTAGCTGGCTTATGAGTCGAGAGGACAGTGGCCCCTTTGCCTAAGAACCTTCATGAACCCACATCTCCAAGAATATGGAATTTCCCATGATGGAGAGTTGTTCTTTTAGGTTGAGGTGAAAATGCCTTGAGAAGGAATATCATGGGACTGTTCTCGGCTTCTAATACCTCAGTGACCAGGTGGAAGGGATCTCTGAGAACACCTAGTCTGAGCAGCATCTTATATATCCAAGCACTGATGTCTGAAGTCCAGGGGCAAGTTATTTACCAGAGCTCATATCAGGTAAAGATACCATTATGAGAAGGCTTTTAGTTGTATTCTGAATAGGGAAAGTGTCTTGGGAGTCTGGAGAATGGGTGGATGGAGGCTAGGGTAAGGGTGGGCATAGAAGGGGATGGAAAGGAGAGCTGGCTATTAGGTATTTATCCAAAGGATACAAACATAGTGTTTTGAAGGGTCACATGCATCCCAATGTTTATAGCAGCAATGTCCACAATAGCCAACATATGGAAAGAGCCCAGATGTTCATCAACAGATGAATGGATAAAGAAGATGTGATACACACACACACACACACACACACACACACACACACACACAATGGAAATTATCTGACCACCAAAAAGAATGAAATCTTGCCATTTGCAACAACATGGATGGAACTAGAGGGCATTGTGCTAAATGAAATAAATCAGTCAGAGAAAGACAGTTACGGTATGATTCACTCATATGGGGAATTAAAGAAACAAAACAGATGAACATAGGGGAAGGGAAGGACAAATAAGATGAAAACAGAGAGGGAGACTCTTAACTCTAGGAAGCACTGAGGGTTGCTGGAGAGGGGTATGGTAACTGGGTGATGTGCATTAAGGAGGGCACATGATGTGATGAGCACTGGGTGGTGGTGTAATATGCAATTGATGAATCACTGAATTCTACCTCTGAAACCAATAATACACTATACATTAATTAAATGGGGAGGGGGAGGAGAGCTGGGCGTCAGAGCCAAACCTCAGGTACCACCTCCCCGAGTCCACAGTCCAGTGCATGCCATCAACTCTCCTGTGAACCTTCAGCCGACTTAGACTTCTCATAAGTTAGTCACGTTCGTTCCCTGAAGCACTTTTATGCGCGAGGAGTAAGTTCAGCAAACACGTTTCACGAGATTTAATCTATATTCTTTGGGTTCTTAAAATACTGATAAGCTCTGCTATTATTCACAGGCCGGCAACACTCCTAGAGCTGCCTGATGACTCCTAGATAACCTCCTTCTTCCACTCTCCGAAGGACTGTCCTGTATAAGGAAGAGGGTCGGGTTGGAGTTACTGGATGCAGTTGAGGAGGAAGGCAAACCCGGCATGAGATGAGACGTCGTGGCCAGGAGGCACAATTGCAAATCCATTTTTTAAAAAGATTTTATTTATTTATTCATGAGAGACAGAGAGACAGAGAGAGAGAGGCAGAGACACAGGCAGAGGGAGAAGCAGGCTCCATGCCGGGAGCCCGATGCAGGACTCGATCCCGAGACCCCAGGATCACACCCTGGGCTGAAGACGGCGCTAAACCGCTGCGCCACCCGGGCTGCCCCCAGATCCATTTAAGGTTCATTCCTGGGATCCGATTATCCCCGGACGAGACCTGACTTTCAAATCTGTCTATACCTTTCCCTTCTCATACTGGAAGCCCAGCAAATCCTGGGCTTGGAACCTGGGTCCTGATCTCGCCTCCACATCTCCAGATCACCGAGACAGCGCGCTATCACGACGGGAGCTCCAGCTTAGAAACGCGACAGACTCGGTCTAACCTTTGCACCCTGCTTAGGAGCTGAGACCGTGGACACCTAAACCACTATACCTGTCTGGACCTTAGCTCCCCCCCCCCAGCCCCCACTGAAAGGGGCGACCATCTGCTGGCGAGAATCTAGGAGATCCCGGTTGCTGGCGAGGTCCCCCAGGTGTCCCTTGAGGGATGAATGATTCTCAGGGTGAAAAAAGCATGTGCCTTCCGGGCCCCCTGCTGCACCCAGCCCCGCTCTCGGCGGAGGCCCCTCGGTCCCGCCCCGGCCGCTGCAGGCAGCAGAACTCGGCCGGGCTCACGGCCAGCGCCCAGGGCCCCGCGGACCCAGCAGGGGCCGGGCAGCAGGCGGGCCCCCTCCGCCCTGCGAGCCTGCGCAGCTCACACCCAGCCCCGGGTGGCGGCGAGGGCGCGGCAGGGCGCATGCGCGCCACCGGGAAGGCCCCGCCCGGGACCGGCCGCCCCTGCACCGCGCGGGGAGGCGACACGCAGGAGCGGAGGCGCTGGCCGCGGGGACGCTGCCCAACCTCAGGTACAAGGTTGGCCGCAGGCCGGCTCCTCATTTTTGCATTTTGAGCCGCGGGGAGCGGGGAGGGCTGCAAGTCAGCTGTGCGCAGTCGAGAACTTACTCTCCCGGATGGTCTTGTAAAGGCACAGATTTGAGCAAAGATGCTGAGGCCCTTGGGAGGATCTTTCAGGGGCTGGGGGCTGCTTCTCCCAGGGATTGCTTCTTTCCAGCTCCTGAGAATTCCCCGAGCTTCTTCCTTCCGGGGCCCTGAATCTCCCACCCGGTCTCCTTCCTACCTTCCTGGAGCTGGGGAGAGGTGGGGAAGGGATGGGGTTCTCGGAACATGGCAGTTTTAACCTTCCCAGTACCGCCCAGACTTCACTGGAAAATGGTCTTTCGAGACCCCAAGGAGTACAGAGGTAGGTAGCTCTTTATATAGTAGCTTACGGAAAATCTCTGTGGGTTCCCCAATTTTGGGAGGGTTAGGGGCAACGCAGGGAGGGCCCTGTCACCTGGGTTTCTGTGTGGTGCAGTAAATCATTTTGCTGCATTGCACCCAAGATGCTTTCTGGCCTTTCCAAGTGCTGAGGAGCCTTTGCCAATGAAAAAGCATGGGATGCAAGGCGCACGTCGGCTCCCCCTTGCATCACTTTCATATGTGGTTCTGGACAGGTCATAACATAAGGTCCTTCGTGGAAATGGAGCAAGAGGGGTGATTGCTTTTTGTCTGCAGTTTCCCTGTGAGTTCAGAAACTTCTTGCAAGGGTTGGGAATAGATTTATTTTCTCCTTAGAATATTCAGTTCAGTAAGATCAATTAAGGAGATTAATAAATAGATTTATTTTCTCCTTAGAATATTCAGTTCAGTAAGGAGATTCAGTTCAGTAAGGCTGTTTCCTGGTAATAGAGCTATATTGAGGGTTGGTCAGTTACAGAATGTCTCCCTTCAGACAGACGTTGTTCCTTTGGTTCACTCACTCGTTCATTCAGCAAGTGTTCTGTACACACCTGCCTTCTGCATGGCAGTGAGCTCGGTGATGTAAGAAGGGCAGAGATGAACTGAACTTGAGCTTAACCTGGAGGAGTTTGGCTGGGAGGGGAAATGAGGGTGGGGGAGATCAACCTAAGTCAGAGGAGGGAAAAGAATCATCCTTTTACATCAGGTGGTTGGCTTAAGGAGAAAACTAGGTCCCCAGATTACTACCTGATGATGAGTGATCTCTCCTTAAGCTTCAGATCTGTGTGTAAAGGTGTTTTCCTCACTGTGTGTCAGGTGCCTTAGACTATGTCTTAGATAGGTCCCACCCCTCCTGGTGACCTCCGTCCTGCTGCCACCACATGCTTACTGCTGGTCCAGTGTTCCCTGTCTCGGGGAGTAGCATCAAGGCCCCTCTGCCTCCTACCTCTCCTTCCTGGTGGTCCAAGCCAGAGACTTAGAGGTGAGTCATCTCTGACTCATCCCTCCCCCGCACTTACCACACCCAGGTTCTTGATTCTGCTCTCTGAACCTCTCTCAGAGCCATTGCTCCAGGCCAGCCTGCCCCATCATCTCAGGCTTAGCTTATCTTCCTGCTTCACTCGGTTCCCATCACAAGAAAGTACTTGCTGGAATTAAATCTGGCTATGAGACTCCCTTCATTCCTCCCTACCACCCTTGAGACAGAACTCAGCCTCCCTTACAGGACTTACAAGTGTCCTGGCTCTGTTGTTGTTGTTATTGTTGTTTAACCAACCCCATCTTATCACAGCCCCCTTGCACTTCTGTCTATTTTGAAAACATGCCATGCTTTCTTATGCCATTAGTTTTTTGCACATGTTCTCCCTGTTGCCTGGAACACATCCTTTCTTGTCACTGTCTTCACTTGGCTTACTCCTCCTCTCCTGCAGGTCCCAGCCAGGACTCCTTTTGCTCTAGGAATCCTTCCTTAGGCTCCCAAGTCTCACTAGGCACCACTTCTTATTATGGTGCTCATGAGTCTCCTCTTAGGGCTCATCCACACATCTGCCTTCTCTCCTGTGCCCTACTGTGTGTCCCAGAAGGCCAGAGCCAAATCTGAGGGCTTTTCTTTGCTTCCTACTGAAGGCACTCAGTAAACAGGTGTTTAGTGGAGTTGAGTAGATGCTGTAAGATTATGGTTTGATTCATTGAATACCTAAACCATAAATTCACTCTATCCCCATTGTTTCCTGAGTGGGCTGATATAGTTATGGCCTCTCCCATGTCAAGTTGAAAAATGGGTGTGATGGTGAAAGAATAATCACTATTAAAGGAGCTAGTATTGGTTGAGTGCTCAGTATGTGCAGGCACCTTATAGTATTACCTCATTTAATTATCACAACTCTGAGAGGTGGATAATTTTATTATCTGCATTTTATAGACAGACTGAGTTGCACAGAGATTAAGGAACATGCCCAATGTTACATAACTAGTAAGTAGTGGCATCTGGTTTGGAGCCAAGCATACACTGTGGAATTCAATTAACTCTTTGGAAAGACAGTAAGTAGGACGGACCATAAGAAGCTGACAGGGCTGAAGATGGAAAGTCACCAGATGGATGGCAGTGCAGTGTGGTCACAACTTTAAGCTGTGAAACCAACAGAAGCAACCAACCCAGAGCTTTACAGATCTGAAGAACATTCATTTTTTGTTTTTTGGTTTTTTTTACATACTCACTTTTCTTCAGACAGCTAACTCCATTATTAGAGGTATTATTGCTAGTGGTTAGGAATGAGACTTCTCTCAGTCTGAAACCTTGGTTCTGTTGCGTGGCCTCAGGAGTATTGCTCACCGTTTCTGTGCCTCAATCTCTTCATCTGCAAAGTGGGGGTAATAACAGTAGTGCTGAAGGTTGTGGTAATAATTAAATGAGTCGATGTAAGGGTTTAGAAGGGTACCTAGCACATGGTATTTGCTCCCAGACATCCTCATCCCCATTATTATCCACGGGGTGGACACGACTGAGCTTTCCTCTTTTAATTCTTCCCGTGGATGTTGAGAATTCTTCACCAGTACCTTCTGATCATGGCCATCATCTCCTGGGCTTCAGGATTTCCTCCCCCCAGGCCCTTCCTCACAGTAACTTCTAGCTTCCTCTCTGCTCAAAACTCCTTTCTCTGTTCTTCTGGGTCAGTTTGGTACCAGTTTGTTTAGAGGATAAAACACTCTTTTAGGTCAACCTAAAAGAGGAGCAGTGAGAACACTGTAGAACTACAAAGAAACCTCATATGCTATTCCTCTTATATGAAGATATTTTCCTCAGGGAGGAGGTGTAGATGTAAAGAGTTAAGATGCAAAAGCACCCCTGGGAATCAGAAATTAAAACGCCACAAGGGGCTTTTAGGGTTCATCTCATCTACTCCCCTCGTTTGGGGGGAGTTGATGTTGGGATGGGGCGTGATCCAAGGCCCACCAGCCAGCTAGTGGCCGTGTCTCCAGCCTGTAGCCAGCACACTTTGTCCTACATCTTATAGATTCCTTGGTAGGGGACACAGAACATAAAGACTTCTAACTCTGGGAAATGAACTAGGGGTGGTGGAAGGGGAGGAGGGCGGGGGGTGGGGGTGAATGGGTGACGGGCATGGAGGGGGACACTTGACGGGATGAGCACTGGGTGTTATTCTGTATGTTGGTAAATTGAACACCAATAAAATTTATAAAAAAAAAAAATAAAAAAAAAATAAAAAATAAAAAAAATAAAAAAGCAAAAAAAAAAAAAAAAAAGATTCCTTGGTAGGATTTTAATGGAACTTCTCACCCCTAGATACATGTTTCAACTGCTGCTATGAGGCACCATAGATTGTTCTTATCCCTTACTTAATTTTATGCCAGGGCTTCATTATATTCTTCAGTGATTTACTATTGATTAAGCATGGATGTCTCTGTACTTTTTGTTTTCTTTTAGTAAACTAGAAAAGAAAAATTCACCTCTATAATTCTATGGAATGCATATCATTTTTATATTACATATGCTCCCCCAGTTCTTTTTATTTTGTAAAACCTGTCCCTTCCCCCAGCTTTAGAATTGCAACCTTGCCAATGGACCTGATTGGTTTTGGTTATGCGGCCCTTGTGACATTTGGAAGCATTTTGGGATATAAGCGGAGAGGTAAGCCTTAACCATATTTTTCATCAAAGGGACTTCATTGGGGATTGGTGGTTGTGCTAAGATTATCTGAGGGTTTATAAATAAGACAAGAAGCTAAAGATGTCCTAGAGGTGGCTGAGGACCAGCATGTTATGCATGGAAGTGAGTTGTAGAGGGAAGGGGGGACAGAGCATTCTAACCCAGATGTCTGGGTCTTTCTTCACTCGTCATCATCAACTGCATAATTAATTGGTTTAACCTCCTCAGCTACTCACTTATTATCAAATGAGAATTTTTATTTGTTTATATACTCTTGGTATCAAAACCTGAATTATGTTGATACGGCATTTTGCAAAGGAAAATTGGTTAAATACTTAGATGTCCTATCTGAAGTTGTCTTCTTCATCTGTATCCAAAAGTGGAAAAAAAAAAAAAAAAACCCAGTTGATAAGCTTTCATGGAAAAAAAAATGAAAGGTCAAGTTTTATATTTTATTTTGTTTTAAGGTAGAAGCATTTTTAGTCATGGTATCTCATGTTCATGTTTCTTATATTTTTATGAAATTTTTAAAATGAAGTTACATTTCAAAGAGTGTTCTTTTTGTGAAGTGGTGGGCTTCAATTTGAGTGGAAAAAACAAATCTGGGCAGCCCTGGTGGCTCAGTGGTTTAGCGCCACCTTCGGTCTAGGGTGTGATCCTGGAGACCTGGGATAGATTCCCATGTCGGGCTCCCTCCATGGAGCCTCTTAACTCTAATATTCTGTTATTTCCACCGTGGGAAATGTGTGTCAACGTTGAACCTGGTTAGGGAAGCTGAGTGCCCTGGTACTGTTTCCATTCTAGTTGTCCTCTCCCCAGTCAACCTCATGTAAGTTTTTTTTTGTAGAAAAAGCCTATTTTTTCTTGAGAAGCTACTGTGCTTACAGCCCTCTGCCTGTGTCTGCGCCTCTCTCTCTCTCTGTGTGTGTCTCTCATGAATAAATAAATAAAATATTTTAAAAAAAGAAAGAAAAAACAAATCTATATAGTTATTAGAGTTATCCCTTAGAGATTACTAAGAAGTCCAAGGCCAGAAGCACAGGTGTCTGTAGGGCCTGAGGGGTGGCGGGTTAAAGTAGATTATTTTCTAAGATTCCTAAGAACCTATAATTCACTTAGACTTTTGTTTGTTGTACTTATTTTCTGTCTCAATGTGTGTAACATCATGGATGTGTATCTGTTGGAAAAATATGATGGCATCAAAGACCTATAAACCACTACTCAAAAGCTGATGTTTTATAATCGATTTTAACGAAGACTCAGATGAAAATTCTGATAGGATTGTTATTGAAACGCTTGTTCATCGTCAGAGGTGTCTAAATATTTCTGTTACAGAACAGAAAAGCACATCTGGACATTTTAGCTTGCGTTTTAGGGGCGTGAGAAGAAGGAAGTGTGTGTGTGTGTGTGTGTGTGTGTGTGTGTGTGTGTGTGTGTGTGTGTGTTGGGGTAGCTGGAAGTGGCGTAGGAGAGGAGAGGCAAGGATTACTTTACTATTCTAACACAAATCTCTTTAGGAACAAATAAAATCACATTCGCTGTAAGGTCTCTGATTTCAGGTACCTGTTGTTCAGATGCACAATATGGTTCCTTGGATTCCTAACAAGAGCCCCCAGCTAAGTGATCCTGGAAGCCTCTGGGGGCAGGTGTTCTCGAAGAAGCCCACTCTCCTATAATATAGGTTAAGAGCACAGGCCACAGAATCAAGCATGGCTAAATTCTGCTCGTGACACTACCACTTACTAGCTCAGATACTCATGTGAGTTGTTTTAACTTCTGGGTCTCAATTCCTCATTTGCATATTACTCAGGATTAAATAAGAGAATGCATGTAACACATTTCACAGCGTGCCTGGCCCAGAAGAAGCATTTAATATTCTTGTTTCTGCTGCTGCTGTTCTGTCAGTGGGAGAGTCTCTGGGCCAGTGGGGCAAAGTACCTTTTTCTAGTTTTATATTCCATATTATATTCTAAGCTGCCTGTGGCCCCAGTGTCCTAGTACTTTTGTAGAAAGTGAATCAGCCCTTTTCTATTTTTACTTAAAGCTTCCCTAGACATGAATCCCATATAGTTCCCCAGGAGACCCTTCCACAGGACAGTTACTGAGAACAATGTTGGGTAGGTTAAAGATGGGACTTCAAAATGGTGTTTGGTAAGAAAGCAAGTATATCTGAATCCTATACTAGATGGGCTGCCAGACATGGGTTGGGTCAAGGTGAGACACTGATAGATTGCTTTTCTTGCTGGGAGCACAGTGGCAGGGCAGGATGCTGAACACTGAGTTCTGAGCTCATTCCTTCCCCATCCCTCTCCCAGACAAGTCCCCAGAAAAGTGCATAGCCAAGAAGACACTATGATTTTGAGGCTTTTTCTGAGCTAAGTAGCCAGTGCCCAAAGCCAAAGATGGCCTTCTCCTGCACCAGGGCTGAATCTAGCCTAATATCTTTCTACTCCAGTTCAGGGGCAGGGCACAGCAGCCCCTCCAGAGAGGAGGGAAGCAGGAGAGCTTGTCAGGCAAGTGTCCTGCTCTGAGGGAGGGAGGCCCCCACGTGCACTTTGAAAACTTCTTGAGACTGCCCCCGCCAGGTTGGCACTTGGAGGAAGGGGGTGTGGGACAGAGCTTGGAGCTTCTTTTTTTGTAGCCCTACCATAGACAAGTGAGTTTTTTTGCAGGATCCCTCACCCCTCCACCAACCAAGTCTTTCTTACGAGGTGGAGCCCACATCCTTCCTCATGCAGGATGCATTCTCCCAGGAAGCCTTCCCATTTCTCAGTCATGTGGGCTGCTGGCGTGCCTGCCCATCCCCACCGTTTGGCTGTCTCATCTCACCAAGGCTCGGGTGCAGATGCTGCCCCTCCCTCCATATACATAAGATGGGGAGGATTGTAGCAGGGCCGAAACTGTCAGGGTATACAGAAGAGAGTCAGAGATCTGTAAGTGAGAAGACATATTAATTAAGGTGACCTAGTCATGCATTCCAGAAAATGCTTAAATCCCCTTACCTATTTCCTAATCTGACATCTTGTACTTAAACATGACCCAGAACAGGGAATGCCCAGGCATGCATTTTGTCAACATTTATCTAGTGTTGCCAAGTACCCAGCACCATGTCAGGCCCTGGAAAACATCAGTGAGCAAAAAGAGATGGTACTCACAAGGCAGGGGGCTGACCTTTAAATACATGGACAAGTGTACAAATATATGATAGAGAATCATGGGAGGTTATGATGGGGCCCTCGTTCAGAGAAGAGAAGACACTCTGAAGAGCTACAGAGACATCTGGAGGGGAGCTGCAGTTGGCCAGGTGAGCAGTGCAGGGAAGAGCAGTGCAGGCAAAGAACAGCATGTCTAGACGCCATGAGGAATAAAGAGTTTGACATATTCAGGGAACTGAAAGAAGGCCAAGCCTCCAATAATAGAGTGGGCGTAGGTTTTTCTCTAAGTGCCATGGGAAGCACCAAAGGTTTTTAATTAGAAGAATGATCTGTCCGGGTATATGCTTTTAAAAGATGATGTTGCTGAGTAAACCTGGATGGCTCAGTCGAGCATCTGGCTTCAGCTAGGGCCGTGATTCCGGGGTCCAGGATTGGGTCCCATGTCAGCCTCCTTGCGGGGAACCTGCTTCTCCCTCTGCTTCTCCCTCTGCCTATGTCTCTACCTCTCTCTCTGTCTCTCATGAATAAATACATAACATATTTTTTTTAAAAAAAGATGATGTTGCTGTGTTTGCAGAAAAACTTGTGGGAGGGGGAGAAACAATGAGGAATTTTTTTAAAGACTTTTATTTATTTATTTGAGAGAGATAGCAAGCAAGGGAGAGAGAGTACAAGCAGGAGGAGCAACAGAGGGAGAGGGAGAAGCAGGCTCCCTGCTGAGAAGGGAGCCTGACGCAGGGCTCTATCCCAGGGCCCCACGATCATAACCTGAGCCAAAGGCAGACGCTCAACCACTGAGCCACTCAGGCACCCCAACAATGAGGAACTTAATATTATCCAACTGTAACATTCTAAGCCTTTATATATTTGACATGGATGGTATTATTAACTCTGTTTTGCAACTGACAAAACTCAGAGAAACTAAGTGCCTTAGCCAAAGGCAACAAATAGAAGAATTAGGACTAGAACCCAGTGCTTGTGGCTTCTCATCCAGATGCTGCTGCTGCTGTGTATGTGTGTATGTGTGTCTGTCTGTGCTTGCGCGTGCAACTACACATGCACACATGTTGCTGCAATGGTTTTTAACCCTGACTACAATCCAAATTTCCTGTAGATATTTAAAAAATAGAGATGGTTGACCCTACCCAGAGGGATTCCAATCTGATAGATCCCGAATAGAATGAACTGCATGAAGCACCAACTGCGCATGTGTTTTGTTCACAGTGTCCCTGGCATGTAGCCCACTGCCAATGCACAGGAAGTACTTGCTGCTGGGCACAGTGCCCTGGGAGCTGGGTGTGCACTGGGTGGCCGACTGGCTGGCTGGATCAGTGCCCTGGCTCTTCCCATTGCTCAGTATAGTCACCATTCATCCCTGAGTCCTGACATCTTGAGGCTGGAAGCTTTGTTAATTATTCAGGACAAAACCATCACCTGGTTGGCACAGGACTTCACTTTCTACCTCTATGAGCTTAAATATCAGTGCATCCTATTTTTATTATCACAGCCTCAGAGTAAAAAGAGGCAAGAAGAGGAAAAAAAAAAAAAAAGAAGAAGAGGGGTGTAAAGAAGTCAATTGATTGTCCAAGATCATGCAAAGTCAAAACCACTACCACCAGGCAGGCTTTCTTATTCACTCAAGCTGTATCTAACACCTGCATTGCTATGTATTCATGGTTCCTCTGCCTTGCATTTCCAGTTCAGCAGAGACCAATCATAACTTAGAAACGGCTGACACATAATTCAGCTTTGTCTAAGTAGCCTGTGGACTTTGTCTACAGTACTCAAGTAGATAAACATTTGAAGGTGCATGTATCATACTGGAAGGATTGGAAGGAATTCCTTTCATTTGGAGATTCTCTTTCTGAGCCCACCCCCCTTTTTTTTTCCTTTCCAGGTGGTCTTCCATCTTTGATCGCTGGTCTTTTTGTTGGATTTTTGGCTGGCTATGGAGCTTACCGTGTCTCCAATGACAAGCGAGATGTCAAACTGTCACTGTGTAAGTAAGACATTTTTTTCCAGTTATGAAGCATTGAACCTTTGGAGTGGCTTTTTTGATACCCTATCCTAGGTATACTAGAAAACATGCAGTCACATGGCAAGTGGATATGCCAGCATTGAGACTGAACACAATTTTTGTTCCTTTCTAGACAGGCCCACTCAAAAACAAGGATATTGCTCCCAGGCCTTCAAACACAGAAGAACATTTCTATGAAACATATTACTAGAAAAATAAAATAAAATTAGAAAAGTAAGGCAGCCCGGGTGGCTCAGCGGTGTAGTACCGCCTTCAGCCCAGGGCATGATCCTGGGGACCTGGGATGGAGTTCCGCATCAGGCTCCCTGCATGGAGCCTGCTTCTCCCTCTGCCTGTGCCTCTGCACCCCCCTCTCTGTCTCTCATGAATAAATAAATAAAATCTTTAAAAAATAAAAATAAAATTAGAAAAGGAATTATGCCTAGATTTTCTGCTAACTCCCCTAAGCTCATATAAGCATCATTTTTGTGTTGCTATTAAAACACCTAACAAGAGACAGCCTCACATTATTTTATTTAATTCACAAGCAGCTTTTAGATCCTCTTTTTGCCTTAAGACTTAATCTAGAAAACCAAGGCTGACCTTTTTTTTTTTAGCTTCTTCCCTTGTTGGGCGTGGTAGGGGAATGTCCCCAGTGAAAATGGAAACCTGTATGTGTTTAAAGGCCCAGGCTGCTTGGCTCTTTTTAGCTTGAAATCTGGTGAAGGTTTGGAAATTGTCTCTATTGAATTTGACTATTAATCAAAGTGGCCTGCGTATGTATGGAAAAATATGCAAATGAAGACAAATTGTTTCAGTTTGGTCTTTGAGGGAGAGAAGGAGACAGTGTTGTATTTTTTTTTCATGACGTGTTTGAAATAGAACTGGGGATAGTTTTTAAGAGTAAAAGTGTGTCAAAAGAAGAAACATATCAGCAAGAGGTGGATATTTTGGGTTTTTTATTTCACATGCATTTAAGTAGTTCACATATGTTTATTGTCATTTTGTTCTATCAGCAAGTGATTTTTCGTTGAAAGCTTTTCTGAAATTGTGACCTCAGCACCCTAAGCTCTTACATAAAACAGCCTCATTCTCCATATTGGTTCAGCTCCTAAAAGGCTGGTATGATGCTTCTGAATTTAATGGTATTAATACTCTTATTTAGTCTCCAGGCATCAATTTCTCAAAATGCAGTGCTGCAAATTAAAAAACAGCTTTTTTTCCTAGTATTTTTTTATTCATCAGGTCTTACTTAAAAAAAAAAAAAATTTGGTGGCACCTGGGTAGCTCAGCGGTTGAGTATCTGCCTTTGGCTCAGGGTGTGATCCTGGGGTCCTGGTATTGAGTCCCACATGGGGCTCCTCACAGGGAGCCTGCTTCTCCCTCTGCCTCTGTCTCTGCCTCTCTCTGTGTCTCTCATGAATAAATAAAATCTTAAAAAAAAAAGATACTGATTATTTACTTTCACTTAAATGAGCATTTATTGGATGTCTCCTGTGGATCCAGACGTACTGCCTAGTGTTCCTGAGAAAAGTTGAATTAGACACAGTCCTAGCCTTCCAGGAGTTTCTACAAATAGAAATTTAAGTTAGACAAAGGCTTTTTCTTTTGAAGATATTTCAGGAATGGATTTTAAGTGCTTGTTAACTCAGAAAAATTTTCAGTAAGCTAGTTTATAAAGTCTTTTAAGAGCACTTTATCTTTTTAAGAAGATGGCAACTTGATACTTATACATAATAGTCATTATATTAAAAAGCTGAAACAATGTCTTTTTTTTTTTTTTTTCAGAAGCAAGCATTGATAATGTGTTTGAAACTCTGGTTCATGCATTGATTTGATTTTTAGTTACAGCTTTCTTCCTGGCCACCATAATGGGTGTGAGGTATAAGAGATCTAAGAAAATCATGCCAGCTGGGCTGGTTGCAGGTTTAAGGTAAGAAAAACTATTTTGATCTGTACTTTTTTTCTGCCATCATTTTGCAGTGCTGACTTTTTGGCAAGAGTCAGTTTTAACTTGAAAGGTCAAAGTAATTTTTTTTTTTACAATAAGCATGACTGTAAAACTTTAAAATATCATGCCTGCAATCAGTCATGGTATTGATGTTTCCATGAGCCCTTTTTGGAGTACATGCAGTGTTGCTATAGTATCTGATCACATGCACCCGCTTACCTTTTTCCAAAAAACTAAATTCAGCCTATTATTTCCTTAAGATTTACTCCTCTGAAACAGTAAATGTGCTCATTTAAATCTAAAGTCAGTCTTTCTTAGAATGTTAGACTGATAGTAGGCTACACATCTTCTGAGTTTTCAAGGGAAGACCATATTTAAAAAAAAAAAAATAGGCACCGTGGGTGGCTCAGTCGGTTGAATGTCTGCCTTTGGCTCAGGTCGTGATCTTCAGATCCTGGGATGGAGGCCCAAGTTGGGCTCTCTGCTCAGCAGGGAGTCTGCTTCTCCCTCTTTATCTGCCCCTTGCCCCTGTTCCTAGGTGCCCTTGCTCTCTCTCAAATAAATAAATAAAATCTTAAAAAATAAATACAGAGCCTCCAATTTCTCTTAATTTGATCCCAGTGACTCTATCCATGAGATTAAGCATATTACCATGTACAAATTTATAGGTAACATTTTTAATTCTTCCTGGAAGCAGCCTTTCTATGTTAAGTCTTAAATATGTTTACTTCGTTATACATTTTTACTTTTTGAAATAAAAAGAAACAATGAAATGTATACAAAGACTGATGTTTACTACAACTTTCTTTTGAAGATGCTAAAATCCTACAGATTTATTCATTTATTAATGAATTGAAGATGAAACAGAAACAGATCAAAGTCTGAGCAGACTATGGTTCACTGTTGCCCAATAAAAGGAAACAGAAGTTGACCCATGTGAAATTCGGAGAGATTCTGGGCTCAGACTCAGCAGGCAGGAAAGAGTTGTAATGCAATTCATGTTAAAACTAAAGGAATAAAAAAATAAATAAAACTAAAGGAATCAGGCATCCTGGGTGGCTCAACAGTTTGGCGCCACCTTCGACCCAGGACATGATCCTGGAGACCTGGGATCGAGTTCCACGTTGGGCTCCCTGCATGGAGCCTGCTTCTCCCTCTGCCTATGTCTCTGCCTCTCTCTCTCTCTCTCTCTCTCTCTCTCTCTCTCATGAATAAATAAATAAAATATTTTTTAAAATACTAAAGGAATCAATGCAGGGTCCATATTAGAAAGCCTGCTCTAGTCCATAGTGCTCTACTCTCCCACCAGGAACAGAGAATTGGGAGCCTGGGTTATCCTCAGACAATCTTTTTTTTTTTTTTAATTCAGTGAATTAACATATAATGTATTATTGGTTTAAGAGGGAGAAGTCAGTGATTCATCAATGTTATATAACAGCCAGTGCTCATTACATCACGTGCCCTCCTTAATGCCCATCACCCAGTTACCACTGACCCCCCCCATCTTCTCTCCAGCGACCTTCAGTTTGTTTCCTATGATTATTGCGACTTTATTTCTAATGGAACACACGTGAACTGAAAAATTAGAAACAACTTAAAAACTCACCAATAAGGAAATGTTTCAATAAGTGTTTTGTCAACTTAATGAAATATTGAGCAGGAATTACATGTCACATTTTCAAAAACTATTTAGTAGCATTATAATATCTTAATGTTCTAATCAGGAAATACTAGGAAGGCAATGCTTCCAACTGCTAATAGTGTTTATCACTGGGTGGTAATGCAATGAGTAAGTTTTTCCTTTTTACTTTTCTTTCTCTTTAAAAAAAAATTTAGTTATTTGACACAGAAAGCACAAGCAAGGGGAACTGCAGAGAGAGAGGGAGAAGTAGGCTCTGCTGAGCAGGGAGCCCTACATGGGGCTTGATCCCAAGGTCCTGGGATCATGACCTGAGCTGAAGGCAGACACTTAACCAACTGAGCCACTCAGCTGCCCCTCTTTTTTACTTTTCTATAGAACTTTCTTCTGTGGCTATGCATCATGTTTATGACTTGGTGGTGGAGGGAGGTGTCAGGGAGGAATGTGGTTACAGGGAACTACTTTCCGGTTATGGCTGTATGATACTTGATGAATGAAAGAATCGGAAGTATGGGTCCCGAAGACCCTAGTCAGTGGAAAGTAGCTGAGACTGTAATAAGAATACCCTAGAATTGCTCCTTGCTTTTTTTTCAAGCCACTTGCCTTTACTAGTTCATCAAAGTCTTGTGTTCCTTTCTAAACCTTTCTCTTAAAAAGGTTCATCCCAGATTTGCAGAATCATGAGTTCTGATTTTGCTCATTCAGTCTATCAACATTTTTAAGTGGTTAATTCAGCCATGTCTGAAGTTCCAATACAGGGATCATGCGATCACCCCTGCTCCAAGGAGAAACAAAGAGAACCTTGGAAGCCAAAGTTTAATAACAGTACAGGTTAGGTGACTAGGTGAACCTCTGTCTTATACCAGGTAAGCATGACCCGTTCTTTGCCTTTCTTTTATTTTAATCCAGCCTCATGATGATTCTGAGACTTGTCTTACTGCTGCTTTGAAAATCCGAAGGAACTGAAGACTAAATTCATATGATTCTACTGTAACGGGCAGAGCATACACTTTGTATTTAAAAGATAATCTTCAACTTGGAATGTGAAGTGTCTTATTTTACATTAGAAACAACAGAAACACTCCAAAATGAACGCTAGTTTGAGGGATTTTTTTTTTAAACCAAAAACTCAACCATTTTCTACTTGTCAGATAATGGTTTCATTAAAGATATTTAATAAATCACTATACACTCTTTCATTTACTGTGTCTTGTTTTATATATGTGGAGGTTTTTTTTGTTTTGTTTTGTTTTGTTTTGACGATTCCAAATACTTGTGTCTGAAGTTTACATTAAGTTTTAAGTCCTCAGATAATGGAATGCCGGAAGTGAACTTTACAAAATGCTGATGTATCTGCTTGTCCTTTGTGTTATATTAGAAATTATAGTTCCTCCATTTTAATTTTATTGCTGCCAATGTGAGTTTTCCCTTTAAAAAAAAAAACTATTCTTAGCACCCTCTGCATATTATCAGGATGTATTTGGTATTCAGATAAAATGCATTCTGTTTTAAACCTGTTTCTCTCATTTTAGTGTCCTATGTACTCTAAATCATTTTTAACATTTAAATGTTCAATTATTAAAGAGATTGGGAACTCTTCCTCAGGAGCAAATGTTCTCCCATGCTGGAACAGTAATAATTCTGAAAGAGAAATGATTTTGTCCCAAGTCACCATTTCATTTTTAGGCATAATTATGACAGTGTCCACAGCAGTTATCTTCAGGCCCCAGACTGACCATCAAGAGAGCTGAATTCTAGCCCAGTTTTCACACTGACTAGTTATATGTTCTTTGGAAGGTCATTACCTCTCTCTGGGTCTCAGTTTCTCATCCTTAAGGTGGAATTTGGACTAAATGGTTGATGAAATCCCTTCAAGTTCAAAAATCTGCAATTTTGGGCAGTCCCGGTGGTGCAGCGGTTTAGCGCCGCCTGCAGCCTGGGGTGTGATCCTGGAGACCCAGGATCAAGTCCCACTTCGGGCTTCCTGCATGGAGCCTGCTTCTCCCTCTGCCTGTGTCTCTGCCTCTCTCTCGCTCTCTCTGAATAAATAAATCTTTAAAAAAAATAAAATAAAAAGTAAATAAAAATCTGCAATTTTGATCCTGTTGCCTCTACTCTAGGGTGTCAGATTGCAAACCCATTCTTTATATGAAATGGTGGGTAGAGTCGTACCTGGTAAGAGCAGAGTTGATACTGTTATGTTCAGTTACCTTTCCCAGCTGACTTCCAAGGAAGTTATTAGACTTCCAGTGATAAGTAATGCAATTAAGGGAAGGGAGGGAGGGAGGGAAGAAGGAAGGAAGGAGAGAGCCTACCAGGGTAACCAAATAAAAAACCCAGACAAAATTCTTTGATAAACTTTAAAAATATTCTACTTAAAAAGAAAAAAAAATCCCACTTATACCAATGGTGCTAAAGAGGTTGTTAGCACAAAGTTGGAAAAAGTGGCCATCATTGGGGTACTGTGCATACTTACTATCAGAGATAATTGAGAATTGGATTGATAATTCATACTCAAACTCTGATTATGATACTGAAGCAGAAACTATGAAATTGATTATAAAAATATATGCCATATCTGTAAAAATGCACTAGTTATTGAAAGTTTAAGAAACTAGTTTGAATCTATGCCATGTCCTGGACTTTTCCCAAAAGGATGTGGAAGTAGGTGAGGGTATATGTATATGTGGTTTTTTTTTTTTTTGTCTTTTAAAGAAATCCTTGATATCCATTGCCTTTATGATTTTACTCTTTTGCAATAAGAAGAATGCAGAAGAATCTTCATTTTGATGAGTGATTGGTATTTTATTGTTTTATGAAAAAGGGTTGTCTGATTTACAAAGTATTAGTTTATTTCCTTTTGCTTCTTATTACTTTATTAAAGTGGCCTCATGATATCTTCCTGAGCACTGCTACAAATGCAAAGTGAAACATTTGCCGAATTCTCTAGCCCTCTTCATTTTTTAATACTCGGCTACTATAGTGCTCATATTTTTGAGAAACATGCCACGTTCAAATTTGAATATGTTCTTCACGCTCTCAATGGAGCTTTCATCTAGTGGAGGCTTCCTTTGGCTTCCAGGCTGGAGAAATTTTTGAATTGTGGGAATGTAGCTGATTCTGGCCTTGAATTCCTAAAATGCAGAAGTATACTGTCCATGAGAAGAGAATATGGCAAAATAGGCAAAATATAAATGATACATATTTTTGCAAATGAGAGAAACCTTGTGTAAAAACTATATTCCTTATGGCTGGCAGAAGTAGGGGATAAAATGGTGTTTTCGCACACTGTGTGGCATTGTGAAACGATGCTACCCTTGTACAAAGCAACTTTGCAGTATTTCTCAAAAAACACAAAAATGTTCCTAGTCTGTAACCAAGTGACCACATTTTTCAGATTGCTTCCTAGTGATACCGTTTTAAATGAGGAAAAATTTATACCCATGAAGATGCTGTTGCAACATTACTCGTAAGAGCAAATATTTCTGAGTATCCTGATATATAACTAATACATAGATGTCCTATGTCATAAGGATTTCTTCATGTCTTTATGTAATCTTTGAAAATACACCTTTAGGTGGCTGCATAAAATCTACCCAATGGATGCATCCTTGTTTATGTAGACCCTTCTCCCATTCTGAATATTTAAATTGTTTATGGTTTTCACTATTTAAAATAAGATTATTCTAAGCATAGTACATGGAATATTATATAATCATGAAAAATTTCAAAAATAGAAGACTAGGTTGTATCAAAATGAGGCGGATTACATAAAAATACCAAAACATGCTTATTGTGTAACATGAAGTGGGAGGTTGAGGCTGCAGAGTTATCACAACTTTGACAACAACTATATTTTAAATAAACATATTTTTAAAGGTTAGAAAGGAATCCACCAACATAGCAGAGTGTTCTAGGAGTCAGGTCATGGAATCAGCTGAGGGTTATGTCCCAGTCCCGTCACCTACCAACACTGTGACTTGAAGGACAGTTATTTGACCTCTTGGAGCCTTGTTTCCTATCCACTTTGAGGATGGAATAAAATCAGTGAGGTAATGCTCATTCAGTGCTTGGTATAATGCTTGGCACATAATAAGAATATAGTCGGTGGTTATGGTTACTGTTAAATAATGGCTATGTTAGGATGATAATATCTTAAATGTTTTCCCATCACCTTATCTAGAAGAAGACAGCCATTTTATTGAGGTTCTGCTACATTCAGGGCAAACCCTTGGAGACTGAAGGCCTAGGATCAGAAGTCTGCCTCAGATCCCCATGCTGGCCCAGATGACCCTCATCTGCTTTCCTTTCTCACTTTATTTTTAAATTTACTACCTTAGATTGAGGTTATTTGTCTATGTGCTTCTCTCGCCCACTACATGTTTCCTTAAGGGCATATTTGTATCTTTAGCACAGGTCTTGGCATAAAGAAGTTAGTAGATTCTTAAATAATAATGAAGGACTGAATGAAAGAATAAATGAATGATAAAAATTTATTCTTCCTGCAGTTCTTGGGAGTTATTTGGATAACATTACCTGTAGCAGAGGAAAGCCTGTGAGGACACTGGGTTTGCATTCTTCAGCCATTAGGATGACTTCAAGGAGCTGTATATCAGCCCAGCTCAGCCGATTGCCCACAAGAAAATCTTGCCCATGATCTCTTAGTGCCTGTATGACAGTTGAAAAGAAAGTAGAGGATTTAGGGGCATACCTAGCAGATAAAGGCAGTGAGACTTGGCAGAAAATCTAGAAGTTTAGAGACCTGGCTCCTACGCTTGGCTGCTGGCTAGCTGTGTGAACACATATAAATCCCATCTCTGAGGGCTTCGGTTTGTTCACCAAAAGAGGTGAGATAGCCTGAATTTTCCTGAGAATTCTCAACACCAGAAACAGCCTAATCTCACATGCCTTTGTTTTCTTTTCATTACATCTCCTGTGCCTATTCTATGAACCTTTATAGAATAATTTTACCCCCATAGCCTGGATTGGTGGTCCTCCTGGGTGTAGGATGATAATTCTCTTCTCACATCATCTCAGGTCAGTATCCTTAGTGCACTGTTCTTCGTGGGAGAACATTGTTCTCACAGGGACCCCCACCGTATTTCTAGAAGTAAATTTTCTAATAGGGCTCTGACTGCTAGGTCACTTTGAGTCAAAATCAACTGAATAGAAAAGGTTGGAGTAGAAAGTCACTAAGGTATTTTGTAGCCCTAAAACTCTGTGATTTTGTGATGCTTTGACATGGGATCAGGAGTTAGAGAGACCTGAGTATCAGCCCCAGTGTGATTAGTTGTATGACATCAGGGAAGTTACCATGCTTCTTTATGCTCTGCAAAATGGGGAGAACAGTGGCACATCTTTAATGAATTTAAGAAGATTACATGGGATCATGCATGCAAAATGCATAGCACAGTGCTAACACATAGTAAGCACATAGCAAAAATGAACCATCAAGAAAGTTCTGTTTGAGTGATGATGATGTTAATACTATTTTTAGCCATGAGAGAAGTCTCTGTTCTTCATAGTATCCCATCACAAAAACATAACTCATCCATCCCATTCTCAGTATTGGTAAAACTATAAGATAAAAATCTCTTAACTAAAAAAAAAAATCTCTTACCTCATATGCTCATTACAATGGAATGGATTATCTTTCAAATAATTTTGTAGGAATGACAACAAGAAAGCTGGAGGTATAGAATATTCAGTTTGATCCATCTTCCATCTTGGACCAAAGAGACTTATAACTCACTAAATGTAATTAATGGAAAAGTATAACCTAGGAAGTTAGAATATCTATAATCTATATTAAATACATAAATATCAATTAAACAATTTGTAGGATTAGACTATAAAATAGTTGATATGATAAGTTTATTTAAGTGTATGTACTAAATCATTCAATTAGAACCATTGTTACTCAACCTGGAAAGGATGGATTAAAACAGCATTGCTGGTGGGTTTGGAAAACTGATGTCTTCTTTTTACCAAACCCTTAACGTTATTCATGATCCTTTCCTATATTGACTGATATTATATCAAATGCATCTTGACCTTGAGGTCAAGAGCACTGTTAACTCAAGAAGCTATCCAACTCTGTGTCGGGGCTGGCACTAAGTATTTGCTTAAAGCTCAAGTTTTTCAGACATATTTTCAGCTGTTAAAAATGAAGAGACAGATGAAAAATAGTATCAGTTTT